ATGCGCCCCTTTAGACCCCAGCCCCTTCCTCTCCTACGAGAACCCAGGAGCCCGGGCCCTCATCCTTGTCCTTTTCTCCCAGACCCCAGGTCCCTTCTGCCCTCAGACCCAGGAGTCCAGGCACCCAGCAGCCTCCTTCCTCAGACACAGGTGTCCCAACCCAGCCCCCTCCTCCCTTGGGACCTGGCATTGCGCCCGCCATCTCTCCTTGTCCCGCTGTTGTTTCTCGTCCTGTAGAACGAGAGGTGGGACTGTGTGGCGGCAGGGGCGGGTGGGGAGGCCCGCCGGATCCTCCCGAAGCCTCCTGGGAGTCACCGCACGCCTTAAAGGGCTCTCTCTGGGGGCCCACCTGTCCTCCCTAGGGCCCAGCGGGACACAGCTGCGGTCGGAGGAGCGGGAGGAGGTCCGCGACATGCCTGAGCCAAAACCAGGTGGTTTTCAGGCCTCCTTAGGACCTGTGTGGAGATGGGTCGTCCCTTTTGAATAGGGACTAGGGGCTCCTGCCTTTATAGGGTTGGGAGAATGGGCGCCTCTTCTGTGTAGGGAGGGGTTCCCACTGTTGGGCGGCATATATGTGTTGGGTGGGGATCCCTCTGTAGGGCGTTGGGGGCCCATCTCTGGATGCAGATGGAGAATCTCCGTGAATTTGAGCCCTTTTTCCTGGGCGGGGATGGGAGTCCGGTGTGCGTAGATTGGGGAGTCTTAGTGTAGTGATTGGGGTCCCCTGGGTGGGGAGCGGCCCCTTCTCTGTGTGAAGATTGGGGCCTTTCTCTGTAGGGAAGTGAGGCTGTCTTGCGTGTAGAGATTAGGGGTTCCCGTCTGCATGGTGAAGAGAGCTCCGTATGAAGATGAGGGGACCTCCTTTCTATGGGAGTTGGGGCTTCCCTCATGTAGGAATAGGGAACCTTCTCCGTATAGGGGTTGAGAACCTTTCTTTATGTGCAGATTGGGGTCCTTTGAATGGGCTTAGGGGGCATTTCTTTATATGGGGATGGGGCTTCTTCTCTATGGGGAAACGAACAGAAGAGACAATCCCCTGGAGAAGGCCCCCCTCCTGGGGTACCCAGGACATGGGGCACCATGCCAACCAGCCTATGAAGTGGGGGTCCAGCCCCTCACCGCGGCTGGGACCTGGGTGGGCCAGGAGACAGCACAGCACGCAGGGCAGGGCGGAGGTGCTGTGGTCAGCACAAGGTGTCCAGTTTCCAACCCAGAGGAAGAGCTAATTTTACCCGCAAGACCCAAAAGGTCAGGGAGTGGTGGCCGGAGTGGGCGGGGCACGGAGAAACCGGATCACATGGACTCTGGGGACCGGACATAAATTTAATTTATCTGGAGGGCTGGCCTCCTGGGCCTGAGGGAGGAGGGGGCTGGTGGCCCAGACTCCTGAGTTCTGGAAGGAGAGGCTGCTGAGCTTGTGCTCAATCGGAAACCCATGTCACAGCGGCCAAAAAGGCCCCCCAAAACAAGGATGCTGACAAACCAGCTCCCAAGGAAGAGCCCCCGCAGGAGGCTCCTGCAGAGCCCCCCAAAGGTGAGACGGTGGGCTTGGCAGAACCTGGACCTCACCCCCTCTCCAGGCTCACCTCACCCCACTGTACCCTCCTTGTCCTCCCTGCAGCCCCGGAATTGACCTGCCCCTCCCCCACTCACAGCCCAGGATAGAGCCGGGGGGCCCCTAGCCTAGCCGTCAATCCCCTGCCCCAGCCAGTGACCCGATTCTTCACTGAGCCCTGCAGCTCAGAACGCAAGGGGTGGGGGAGCCTGGCCAAGGTCACACAGCCCCCTGGGGGACACACTGGTCTTTCCCAGGTCAGGAAAAGCCACGCTGCCTGTGGCCTTTGGCTTCTGAACAAAGGGCACCTCCGTGGCCCTAGGCCTCATCCCCAAAGTGGCCTGTTGCCCCCTCCCAGCCTGCCTCAGAGCCCCTAACCCTGTCCCCCAGAAGAAACCCCGCCTGAGGAGCAGACCCCCACCGCCGAGGAGCCCACCGGCGTTTTCCTGAAGAGGCCAGAATCTGTGTCGGTGGAGAATGGTGAGGGGACCTGGGGAGCAGGGGCCGGGGGCCTGGAGCCCTGGGTCTGAGGGAGGAGGGGCGGGGGGCTCTCAGCTTCGCAGTCTTCTCTATAGCATCCCCGTGTCCCCCCCTCGTCCCCCAGGAAATGATGTAGCAGTCAGGGCCCAGGTGAACGGGAAGCAGCTCCCTGGCAAGCCGACCATCACGTGGTTCAAGGGGAAGTGGCTGGAGCTGGGCATCAAGAGTGGGGCTCGGTTCTCTTTCAAGGAGACCCACGACCCCGCCAGCAGTGTGAGGCCCCTGCGGGATGCCGGGGGTGTGGAGGCCAGGGCTGGACGTCGTGCAGGCGGGCCCCGCTTCTAGGGAGGCCCGTGAGCGCGTGCGGCGTAGTCGTGGGCCGGAGCCCCACAGACGGGGGACGGAGGGAGGTTGGGGCCACTTGGTAGAGGCTGTGCTGGACAGGAGGGGAGAGCTTTTGGGTTTGGTCAGGTGGAGCCTGGACTTGTGCATTCGCAGAAAAGCCTCAGGGGGGCAGGCACATGGGTCTCAAGGTTGAGATTGTCTAGGCGTGGGAAGAGACAGCCGGCCCCTCCCACAGGGCAGGGGTGAGTCTTGGAGGGAGAGTTGTGGGTGGGGGTGGCACCCACGCCTCTGGCCCCGGCCCCCAGGTGTACAACGTGGAGCTGCACATCAAGAAGGTGATGCTGGGGGACCGTGGTGACTACCGCCTCGAGGTCAAGGCCAAGGACGTGTGTGACAGCTGCAGCTTCAACATCGATGTGGAAGGTACGCTGGCGGGCGTGCGGCCGAGGTGGTGGGTTTGGGGTGCGGGTAGATGTGGAGGTGAGGCAGGGTTGTGGACGAGGGAGTCCAGATTTAGGGGCCGGGGCATTCGGAACTGGGGAGACCATCCACAGATGCCAGGTGTAGATTCTGGCGTCTAAACCTGGGCCGGGCCAGGTTTAGAGAATAAGGGTTTGTGGCTTTAGGGTGAGGGTGTCCAGGACTAACGGGAGGTCACGCAGATCTGGGGGCATATGCGTGGAGCCCTGAGGGTGTAGGGGCTCCGGGGGTCTGCAGCCCAGGATGCGAGGGCTTATCTTTGGAGGGCACAGGGAACGAGGACGCCCAGGCCCGGGCGGGGAGGAGTGTGGGCCGTGTGTGAGAGGCTAGGCCGCCGAGGGAAGGGGGTGCCTGGCGGCCAGGGAGAGGAGTGAAAGCAGAGGGCGTCTGGGCCTACGTGAGGGGGTGTGCTGGTCCAGGAGGTGAAAGGAAAGGCCAGGGGGAGGTGGCATGGGTCTGGGGGATGCTCCTGGTCTTAGATCGGGCCCCGCCTCCAGCCCAGCTTCCCTTCCCCGCTTGCCTCTCCCCAGCGCCCAGTCAGGACACCTCCGCGCAGAGTCTAGAAAGCTTCAGGCGATCGTAAGTGCCCCTGGGCCCTGGGCGACGGGCCGGGGGATCAGGCGAGGCGAGAAGTTGGGGATTCGGGGTGAGTCTGGGGTGAGAGGACCTCGGTGGAGTTCACGCCCCGTCTCAATGGCCGCAGGGGCGAAGGGAAGTCGGAAGATGCGGGCGAGCTGGATTTCAGCAGCCTATTGAAGAAGAGGTGAGCCCGCCGCGCCTGGCGAGGACAGGGGAGGACCGGCCCGAGGGGGCGAAG